ATAAATATGATCTCTTCAATAATTACAAATAAAAAAATTTTTGCCTCGTCGAAGCAGCATTTTGCCACCCTTTCACGTTCTAAAGAACCGTCTGTTAACCAAAAATAAATAAAAAAGTTGAAAGAACTACAGAACTTTTCTTCTTACTGATTCAGTCAGACTTTTGCAAAATTTGAAATTTTTTGCTCTTATCATCACTCCTTAATCCTAGTCAATCGATATTTAGTTGTTTTGGCTTTTTTGAAACTTATTCTCAAAAAAAGATCTAGTGGCAAAAGGTCTTTTATTTTACAAATTGGGCAGAAGTCCCTACGAGGTTAAGGAAATTTCTGACTGTAAAATAGAACTTTCAGCACTGAAGAAGATGAAAGAAAGTAATAAGAAACTTTAAGGCTGAGTTAGAGCACGTAAATGCCTCACTTGAGCTCATTTACACTTTATTATTTAATTTTTATTTTAATTTTAATTTTTTTTCTCTAATTGAAACGACAAAGGTATTTTTCAAAGATGATGGTTTCTTCATTTTAAACGTACGCGTTAGAACTAACGCCTATGGTAGAGCTGCGAACTCTTATTTTGCGCTGAATCATTTACTCCAACTGAAAAATTCTACGAATAATTAAATCTTCTCATCTTTCTAGCTTTATTTTCCACGAAAACTGAACGAAAGCTGAAAGGAATGTTTTGTCGCCTCAGGTCTTTAGATGTTATTTTTGACGCCATTAATAAGTCTTCTCTCTTAAGGATCAAGAGCGTCGTGTTAGAGTTGTCAGATTTCCGAGCATCAAACAGTAACAGTTCTAAGAAACACAGAACTGCTACTGAACCAACAATTGAATGAGGTGAGAACTAAGAACTAAAATAAAAGACCTCTCAAATTACTGGCGTTGTGTGGTACTTTTCTTATTACGTCTGAAATATTCACTTCTTGTTTAAATCTCTTATTGTATAGCGTAAAAAGTCGTTGGTTTTTCAGTCAATTTTGTCCTTAACAATAACCTTTAATTTTTTTTTTGTCTTCTGACGGTTCATGTTTACCAATTTTGTACTTGTCTTGCCATTATTGTTGGTCGATCCCTTCATTGCTCATGCCCTGGTTTTTTATGTCTTTTTAGCGCTGCTTTTACAATGCTTCTAATTTTAAGAGCTGTAAATCTTTGAAAAAATCTGAATTATTAAAATTTAAAAGCTTGAAAAATCTGTCATACTAATAAGTACTTCTTGATTACGCTGTTTATAACCTAGTTTTGCATACTTGCTTTCAATTACTGAAGCAAAAGATTCTGATAAACTGGTCATTACAAGCAGATATAATAATGATAGTACATTACCAGCTACCTAAAGGCTTTTGAACTGGTCAATTATTCATTGTAAAGCTTTTTGTTCGTCACCGCTGCAGGCGAATTGTTCGTCATTATTAGAGAAAGTGCTTTTGTCAGCGTTTTTTTTATTGAAACGAACCATCTTATAACCTCCATTCCTTTATTTCAGCTACATTAGGGAGGTTCCGCTATGAACATTATGTAGAAATTAACTTTCGATGCATCTTGCTGCTTTCAGCTAATTAGCAGACTCTTCCAAATTGGGATACAGCTTCCAACAAAAGCAATGAATTTTCCCATAGCACTAAATAATTAATTCACTTCGTCTTTAAATTTATGCTGTTTCTCATACTCTTTATTCCTTGCTGTAACCAAGTCATATTGAACTTGAGATTTATTTGAAAACAATTGTACGGTGGACTAAAATTTAAAATTATAATTAAAATATAATTTTAAACTGAAGGTTTCATTTAGAGATGACTGAAAAAGTTTTCGAATAATATTATTTTGTACAAGCCTAAAATAAATTACTATGAGTAAGAATGAAACTGCTAAAGCGCGCACTTTTGTTTTGTTGAATGACACTTTTGGGTCTATCCAAGCTTTTCAGTGAATTTTTTCTTCTTTGGTAACCAAAAAATATTTTCTTCACAACGCAAGCTTTCTGAAAATAATTTACTTTTAATTACGAAAACAACGACAATACCAACAGTTTTTTTTAATTTAAAACTTAATGTCGTCTGTAAACAAATTTCTACTGCTATTCAGAATTGATGAAGTAAAAAAAGAACAGTTGTGTCATCTGGATTGTTTAAACAAAAAATATCTTTTGCAGCTAACGACGGGAAATAAAGCAAAATAGTCCCAATTCTCGAAGTGTTCAGATGTGTCAAGAGCGTTTCTTCGCATTGCTGCTCTGGCATTTTTTACTTTATGTTGCAAAATCTGATCCGTTTTGGATTACCACTAACGTTCAGGAAGTAAAATGGAAACAAGATTGCCCAGCAGTCTTGGCTTGCGTAGATACCACTTTTGTTTTGGTTCAGAATAACGTCATTAGTAAAGAGAATATATCCAAATCTTGGAAGTTCCACCAAAAAAGTGATGAGGTGTGCTCAATATTTAAATACTGCCTAACTGAGGTTAAAAACTTCTTTTAGGATTTATAAGAGAAGGAAGCTGTTT